TTTTTCTATGTTGGATGCATAAGAATGGCACATTGACTTTTTTCCCTTCAAATTAACATGAAAGTGCAATTTATGTTCATGTCTCCACAAAAGCTGGCGATTTTATCCATGAAGAAATAGTTGATTAAACGTTGGCACGTATTGTTTCTGAATTCATTTAGAACCCCAGGGCATCATTTGAATCGCAAAATTGTTCAACTTGGCAGTGACCCCGTGAGCATGTGTGCATAATGAATGCATAATGACGGACACATGGAGCCGTCGAGTCTATCCTGTATATGCCGTAGCGTGAATAATTTCAATATTACCTGGACAGATGGTCTCGCGGGAATTAACTCGGCTGATCCGAAATCTCAAAAAGAGAAGAAAACAAATCTCCAATTTTTTTTTTTAACTGAACTAGGACTGGATTTGGAGATGGTGGAAGAAGAAATGATGATTGACCTTTAATGCAGGGATAAGCCTCGCGGATTGATCGGTAGATTGAACCTTTGTTATATTTAACACTCAAAAAAATTGCCTTTCATGATGGAACGACTGCATATCGGGCTTAGTTTTAATGAGAGAGGACGGCGTAACTGGAGTCCAATTTGGGGCCTCGTTTTCTGTAGGGGGATACTCAGAGTGTTTTTAAATATAAAAAGTTAATTTTCCCTTCCCCAAATTCTGAGTGGAGGGGTGGGGGGCACAAGCCTCCAGTGGGGGTCATGTCACCCCCATGGTCCCCCCATCCAACTTTAGTAATGTTACTGATGAGTGATGGCTTTGGTGATGAACCACACCTTTAACAAATCAACTTAAATTTTCATTTAAACCCAAATTTGTCATAATTTCAGAAGTTTTAATATTGTAGTTGTATTCTTAGCTTGACCAACTTTAGTAATTAAAATGATGGAATTGCAAATTAACAACTTATAGGCTTTATTTTTAATCATTTACACTTTTGAAGTTCAATTCTGTGTCTGAACACTGCTCAGTTTTAGTTGCACAGGGACTGTCATAAATTTCTTAGCTCAACAAACACAAAATCACAATTCTGAACCAGTTCGGAGTATCATTGGCATGGACCGTACATCGCACCTCATGGCTGTATGCAGATGATTTATTTCCATTACCTGCGTAGATCGACTTGAGACATTGCCAACATTTTTGAAGTGGACTTTGATTTCCCTTGTACACAAACTGCAGATGTTCGCTTTGAGGCTACGGTAATTATGCGCATACTCACTGATCATTTCGAAGCTAGCTCAGTAAATATAAGGTACGTGACATCCCGTTCTTTTCTCCAGTGTATATCAGTGACTATAATTATTGGAACTTGGAAGTAACAGCTTAAGTGGTCATTTACCTAATTGCCACGACAAAAGAAAGTAGGTGCCATTTGCGTTCTATTATGCAAATGAAAACAGACATGATTTGTGCATTTGCATATGAGTAAATCTCATTTGCGTTTACACATCTATTCAATTAATTGATTATTTGCTGGCGCCTGTAGTTTGGATGTTGAATTTAAAGGGAATGTACAACATTTGCTCTTGCTGCAATTTTCAGTTGTTAGTGGATTTGGGGGATTAGAATGTTAAAGCAAATATTGTTAAACTGACTTGTTTCACGTTTTGGGCTTGTAGATCGATGCTGAAAAAACCAAGAAAGCCAATCATGTTCTTGTAGTCTGGTTCTCTTACCCCACTTAAGATGAAACGAAGCAATTTATAGACTTTGGGAAATTGTTAGGTATAGAGAATCAGTCTAGAAGGCTTGTACCCCTTCACAGGTGTGTAATCATTTGCAAAGAAAATGCGGAAAAAGTAATTCTGAAAAATTAGGAGCAGTTTTTGAAAAAAGCCAGTTTTCTCCAATGCTGGTCGGCTGACCAGCGTTGGAAAAATACCAGTTTTCTTGAAAATATCAGCACGCCAGGAGCCATGATTTTACAAGGTGCTTTAGAATGTCATTCTCTAACAATCCAGTAAGATTTTTCATGATAATTTGATCATTTCGTTTTTTGATGTTTGCAAATGTTGTATCTTCCCTTTTAGAGGATATGGCTGGTTAGAAGTAAACAAAAGAAAAAAAGTTCATAGGTGTGATTACTAGAGCACATTGTGTTCATTTCTTTTCATGTCTGACAGCTTTGACAGGTTTTTAGCCTTACAATAGAAATTTTCATTTCTAGTTCAGCAGAAATTTAAAAAAAATTATGAAATAAAAGTAACTACCTATATCACATGAAGAAAGTGGCCCGTTTATCCCTCCCTCATACATTTTAAATTTGGCCTGAGGAAACTTTTCCCGAGACACACGTGTCCCATAAAAATAAAAAATATCCACCGAGACCCGGATATCCATGTTTATCATTTTTCCAAGCTGCGTGTGAATGCCCTGCGAATTAATGCACAGAGTGCACTGCTAGATTGAATTAACCCGCCGTTTACATGTATTTATCTCTTCCCGCGGAGGGACGGAAAAAATATTGTCCCGGCGCTCGGAGGGCTTTTGGGTGGATTGACGTGGGGGTAGTATGGTTGAGAAAAATCTTCAGCCGGTGATAAATAACCCTTCTTTGCATTTCCTCGCCTTGACATTAATAATCTCGCCGTTCGTTTTAATGTCACTTCTCATTCTGCGGATTGTAATTCCCCGTCTTCTCAGAGTTGCAATTATTTCCCTTGAATGCTCCTTGGCGCAGCCCTGTTCAAGTCGTCTGTTTTGCTTCGACTCGCGTGTACCAGTATATCTCGTGTGTGCCTGCCAGTTTTACAGAGTATACATTGTACATGTAGATGCACATTCTGCATGTGCATGTAGTGATGACGTGATTTTTGGTCAGATGGTGTGTCAATATACATGTAATCAAAAGGAATAATTATAACATTATCAGAATTGTTCTCATTATGACTGGCTAATGGTCACTCTATATTTAACATGCATAGATCCACTTGTGACATTTTGTTGCTTTGTTTGTTTACATGAAAACAATGATGTTAACGTTTCTTAATTAAAAGGCTTTCTGTGTAATATTCACATCTAAATGTGTAAATATCACAAAGCAATACAGGTTCAAAGGCATGTATGTTCTTGCCTTTAAAAATAACAATAAAAACACGAAATGAGATTTCTAAAAAGATGGGATTTCATGTATTTCAAAGGCATCAAAAATACATGCATCATTTTCTGTTTACATAATCTTGCAATTGTTGATAGACTAGATTTTGATTTCAGAGAGACACTCACACAATTGTCTGGCCTTGGGTCATTTTGGACCATGCACTTACGCCTTTGATTGCATTTGGAAACGGTCAGTGAGGAATAATTTTCTTTGATGTCGATAATTAACATGGCACTGGTGTCATTATAATCTTTTATGGATTGTTTGCACTGCAGCCATGTTTGAGGTGTGTGCTTCTGTTGAACAGGGATACACAATGAGGACCACTTGTTCATTCATTATTTCTGGACTAACTTAGCAAAAACACAGTGACGCACCCAAGGGGGGGGAGGCTCGGGGGATTGAGCCCCCCCCCCTCCCCAAGAGGTTGTCATATAAAAAAGAAAAAATTGATAATTTTTTCTTTAGTTTTAGTCCCACGATTTGACCTTAGTTATATGTAAGTGGCCTATTTTCGAGGAGTATAAAGGGGGTGTAAGGGGCGGCACCAACGTCAAAATAGTCCCCCCCCCAAAAAAAAAAAAAAAAAAAAAACCAAAATAAAACTTCTAACAAATTTGAAATATAAAAATTGTGAGGCCCCCCCCAAGCCAAATTCTGGGTGCGCCACTGGCAAAACATGCCCCAAAGATGGCTGCTGAATGCAATTGATCTATTAGGTCGAGGATGGCTCATGAGTGTAAAGGGAGTCAGGGGATCTGATACACCGTGCCCTCTGGAGACATGCACACAATAGGGAACAAAAGATTGTATACGTCTCCACAGGGCAATTTCTATAGATGAATACGTCTCCACAAGGTTATCACGAAACAGATATATGGACTTTACTCAAAAACTAGGAATTTCCAGGGTATGTTGATCAGTCGCAAATGGAAGAGTTTTAGAAAAGGGATATTAAGTCCAAATTTCAGCCAAGGAAATTAATTCTGGTTATAAAATAAGAGCATTTTGAAACTTCACTTTCAAACTCGAAAACTTTAGTACACGAGAACAAAGAAATGTCTCCACAAGGATACAAATTCCAGTATGCGTCTTCCTGTCCCACCTCAGCAAGTTCATTATAAATTTTTCTTGCAAGCGCTTGCACAGAACTGAGTACAGATGTAGCATACAATGTATATGTGCACATTGTACATGTGCATCGGTTAAAACTTAAGATCATATGATACAAATGTATCTCCCTGATGCAGAATTCCATCACTCAAGATCTAGACCGAGTATGTATCGCTACACAGTTGCAGAGTGATTTGCTGTGATTTTGATGGGTTTGTGACATTTTTATATAATGTTATTTATAGTGTTATTTCATAATTTGTACTGTTTTTAATTGTCTTACAGTGAAGTATTTTTCATTGATAAATGAGTGCGGATTGACTATGATAAATAAATAAATACGCATACACAAACAAGGTTTATTGATTACATAAGTTATGTAAATGAAGGCAATTTATACCATGATCATGTGCACACTTCCCGGCATGCGCAGTATCTGCTTCAATATTTGTCATGCAAAAATGTACATGAAGACCAATCAGAATCCTTTTACACTCATGAAATAAACAATATGTCAGCTATTGTTCGAAATCATCATGGAGCAGTTGATTTGTTCAGTAGCCAGCGATATAATCGCTTTCCCCATTACTGGGGGCTCTGTGAGCATACAGTGATGTAGGGCCTTCGTATTGGTGCATGTGTGCCGTGATTATTAACGCTATTGAAATTCATCCGCTGCTATTGATCACTGCCCCGAAATAATTGCTTTGCGGATCTAACCACAACCGCCCAGCCATATATACTCTCTCTTATATACTCCGCACACTGCAATATGTAGACACTCTGGCACACTTGGCTGTACGCCATCACAGCCTCACAGGCAGCCGGCCGGGCCGCGTACAAAGCTCCGCGCACTTGGATGTTCCACATTAACGACCAATGATTACTGCTCACCGTGTGCACAGCGTTTGCAGTATTTATAGCGACGGTTGATGGGTGCTGGGGAATATTACGCCTTGATGTGGTGCTCCTCCGAGGATGTTATTGCAAGGAGAATGACTCTGGGATTCCGTTGGGTGTTGAACTGTCGGTAAGGCATCTCAGATGGTTTACATACATGTATGTGTGCCACAAAAGCATATTTATGAACGCGTCATTTTGTAATGTATTGTGCCACGGGAGATCTGTATGGTACATCTTAGATGGTACATGTACATGTTGTAGCAGTTATATTTACTAATAATGGCATGTACATACATCAGTAGGATAAAGACTTCTTAAAGACAGCTACCTGGTATAATGAAAAAGGAGATATTGGCATTGTCAGTTAAAGTGGAGACACAGAGATTTGTAGGGTGAAAATGACATTTTTTTGTTACACTTAAAATTAATCAGAAAATTTGCAAGTGTACCGGGACACACAGCAAATACATTTTCAGTTTATGTGTTATATACTAGGTTGATTGAAATTCTATTGGGAAAAAATGGCATGCATAATTAATAAAATTAATGATAATTGCCTCAAGTGATGATTTATTACCATACATGTCATTATTTCTACTGTATATTTTTTACTGCTTGTTTGTTGTGGGTAGGAAGTGTACGTGTAAAGCAGAAAAAAGTGCACGCAGGGGTGAATACGCACCTGTTTCGGAAAATCATAAATGTATAATTTTACCTTACATGTACTTCTCAGAAAAAAATGAATTCCTATTGCAATGCACAATTTACACGTACATAATTTGTACGTGAACACTTGAGTGTTGCAGCGCTGGATTCTAATCTTTACCCAGACCAATCGTAGAGTGGAATCGGATTACTAGAAAGCGAGAGGGATTTGTCCATCTTCTGATAACAAAGACGTCCAACAGCCGAGCCACAAAATAAACTCCCTTGCTTGTGAATGTATCTCGTGATTCCTTAATTGACATTTTTTCCCCGTTTGCTTTGCAACCATCTTGACAGTGCCTGCTTTTATTCCACAAGGGATATGTGTGGGTAGATCCCTTGTGCATTCATTCATTGTTACTGAATTAAAATAACTAAAAACACCTCAAAGGCTGCTTAATGCAATGGAAGTATGGCAACAAATGAGGATGCATAATGCTCTCTTGGATTTTTCCATAAGGCAATGTCACTTGAGACAATTTACAGCATGTAGAACTAGCTACCGCATAGAAGAATGTGATAGGCTCATTTTAATTTTGATCAACTTTCTGATGAAATAACTATTTGAGAAAAAAATGTCCATGAGAAAAACGATTTTGCACATTATTTGGTCCTCTAATTGTAGCCCTAAGGTAAGGACCAATGATGTACATGGGCATGTGTGGCTTGGCTCTACAGTCCAGAACTCATTGGAAACCAGTAATTAGATTGCATGGTGGATTTGAATTGAAGACACCCTTGTAAAAATAGAATAATTTTTTGTGTGTATCTCAGTAAATCAGGGATGTAGTTTAGTCCAACACAAGTCCCTCGCAAGTCCAGTCACAAGTAAATCACACATCTGTTCACCAGACAGTCACAAGAAAGAAGAGTGGATGAATAATAACGAAGGAATGCTTTTGTCACAGTTCATTTGAATAGCTTGTGACTTGAATACAGACTGGCGGACTTGTGATAGACTTGTTTTGCAGGGACTTGCAGGGACTTGACTACATCCCTGATGTTCACAAATTAAAAGCAAACTACTTGTGTAAAAACCAACAACAAAATGTAAACTAATGTACACATTTGTAAAAAAAAAAACCAAATTAATCTGCATGATTTGCACAATGAAAAAAAGAGGTTAGTTTTATCATTTTTTCTATGGTTTCATGCAAGGCTTGGCTGTATTAAAATGTTGGTAACTGTGAACAGCTATAAACCTTGTAAACAGCTTCAATTGTTTGTACACAATCAACAGTCTGTCACAATGGCACTTTAAGTCTGGATAGGAAATTGGTTGAAGCATCTGGTGAACTGTGTAACAAAAGAGAACTTAGCACCTTCTGCAGTGTAATCCTGTAATCCACAATGGCAGCTAATCTGTGGTCAGTTGAGATTTCTCAAACAGGGTTTGGCTGCCAACAAGATAAAGCCTCCCATGTGAACACAGACTGAAATTTATGATTGAGAAGAAAACATGTTGCTGATTGAATATTTTCGTGTGCTTTGGTCTATCCGGTTCATTAGTGACTTCATTATATACATGCGCGCACCACTGCTTACTGGCGCCTATTGGACAAACACTCAAGCTGCATTAACTTCCGACTCCAATGGTTGTAGTGCTACTTAATGGGCAGCGGGCGTGGTTTAAACTGCAGTGACGTCACACTAATGAACCAAATTGAGGTATCAGGTTCAGGTTTTGTGATCAATTTTTGCTGGTCCCAGAGGGCCAACCTACTTAGAGTATCCTCGTACCTGACTGACTCTCTGACCATGGAGGAAGGATGGTTTCCTGACTGGAAAAATGTGATCGAACAAAAAATTTGAACCAACAAACTCAAAAATGGCAACAATTTCTCTGGAAAGGTTGTGCCGAGTCTGTTTCTGATCAGGTCCGAGGAGCTTCGGGACCCAATGAGCTGACACCTTGGACATTTGGACACCGTATCTGGTTTTTTTTCTTCATTTTTTCCATTTTCAAAGTTCAATTCTCAGGAAACGGTGACTGTCAAGGTTTAATTATCTGTAACAGAAAAACAAGAACAGATAATAACTTCAAACTTTCTGTGTAATTATTCAACAAGTCGAACTGCACACAATATCAGTCAAAACTGTATAGCTGTTCTCCTTCTACACATGTACCTTAGGCCACAAACTTACCAATCACCCTTCGTACAATTTGTGCAATTGTACTTTATACTTGCTGTGTAAATTGTCTTGTTATGTGGGCATTCAAGTGTAGGAATAATAAAAATTTATCAGAACAGGAGCATGAACTATGTATGTATGCACATGTATGATGTGCAAGTTTTCAGCTGTTGGATTGCTTTTAAAGTTGGGTTCCCCAAGTTGTTTTTGAGTTTTGTCTCGAAAAATAGAATCATTTTCTAAATTGCAATTTTTCTAGCAAAACAAAAGATATTCACGTTTGAATGAGACATCAACTAAAAAAAATCGGCAGATATTTAGTTATTGAATTACTACTTTACAAATTTGAATTAGGGCCTACTTGCGGCCTGACAATAATTCAGTTCTTGCAGGGTAGGCTGGTTACAGCCCCACAATCAGTATTGAAAATGTATGGACCAGGAACCAGTCTGCTGGTAAGGCAGATGTGTTTGTGCCCAAAATAAAACTTTTTTTTCCATAGGGTTGAAGATGTCTAAAAATGGGGGAAAAAGAGGTTTTTGGGCTGGAACAAAAATACAAATTGAAAATTTATTAATAGAAAACAAGCGAATATGTTGAAGAGCCACAGGGAACAACTTTATTTTTAGTCCATCCCCCGTATTGATAGGCCTATATATGGACAAGAATCTATCTTTGTGATTCGTACTGATCAATTGCGACTGCATCCATGGCAAGCTCGAAGAAAAACATGTTTGTCTAAAAAAAAAATATGGGAATGGTACACTAGAGAGCATTCACCTCATTGAGATAGGGGCCACGGAAGTCGGTCAGCCACAATGCAAACTCCCAGGACATACCCGCGCTGTCTGTGGACATTAGATATAAGCTAAATTGATCGAACATTCTCAACATGTTGAGCGTTCTCGGTAACTTCTCTGCAGCAGGCTGTTCTTATTATCATTCATTCGTGGTAATGGACCCAAGGATTTCTCGAAAGTGCCCATGGCACTGTTGTTAAACTTGCCTATTTTGAAACCTGTAGAGAGAAGAAAAAACGAAATACAGACAAACCGCATGAGACATATTATGGGCAACTCATGCCCGTTTCAAATTGTAAACTACGGTACATAAATTATACAAATTGCTTGGGTGAGATTTGAACCTTGGTCACAGAGATATAGAATGCGAGGAAAGTAGCATCATGCCAACCCAACTTCCTACTTTTGAACTCAAACATGCATTGTGTAACTGAGACAAATCAACTATAAATAAGGTGAATTAAGATGAGATAAGCTTTGTGGAAAAATAAGTCATATTATATATGACCTGTCACCACAACATGAGCATAAAGTTGGAAATCGCCATTTTGCAGTACAGTGGGGGCAAAGCCAAAATTTTACAGGGTGGTGAATTTTTTGTTTTCAGGTGAACCTGAATCAGTAAGTCCCGTTCTACCTTTCTCCAATTGTTTCTGTTCTGTCAAATATTTAGTATTCATCTCATTTTATCATTGGACTGTTTATTCACTTTCAGTGGGATTTTTATATGTCATTTTCTCAAGAATAGGTTTACAACTTCAATTTGTCTGGCGGCCTACATGTATATTCATTACTGATCTCAGCACCCCCAAATGTTATCTACCATTTGAAAGCTCTTGTTCTGCAGAATCCTGAAGTAAAAAATCTCAATTCTTAGAAAGTCCAACTTTACCTGAATGCTCATTTTGTGGAGACATATCACAAAGAGATTTTTCTAGTTTTGTATGATAGAATTCAAGGGCGGATACAGAACAGAATTTTGTGGGGGCCCCAAAAAATTTGGTCCCCCAAAAAGCGGGTCCCAAAATTTACAGCGTGGGGTTTTGGGCCGGAAATGTTTTGGATTCTAGATGCTCTGTTGTGCAATCTGAGGCAATTTCTGACCACTTTAACCAATTTTTTTAAGGAAAAGATGGTGGTGTACGCAGAGCCTGCCTTTATTGCGACGTCACTATAAACAAAAAGTCGTTTTGGGTGTTTGGTTTTTTTTTGGGGGGGGGGGGCATGTCCCGCGTTGGCCCCCTGGATCCGCCCATGATGGAATTATTTGTAGATGTTGTACCACTCAACCAGCAAGCTTGCATGAAAAATTGAATTTATAATAAAAATTTTAATTGAATTAAGTCATATTGAAAAACCATGGAGCTGGAAAAACTACACAGTATTACTAAGACTGACTCTATAGCATGCAAACAATCTTCTGAAATATTTTCGCCCTTAAATTTTAATCCAATTTTGTGCTGACATTCTGATACACTACTACGTATTC